TGAGCTAAACTTTAGCTCAAACATTAATGAGCTAAATTCAAGTGAACCCCAGATTTTTAAGCTCATCACCAAGCAGCCAAGGCCCAACCCAAGAGCAACAAACAGCTCCAAACTGATAACAGAAAGCAGCCCAAGGACAAAATGGACCCAAGTGCAAGCAAACCCAAGGCTTGCCCTGCCCAAGCACTTTCCTACCATGATCATTGGATGCCCAACCATCATTGGATAGCTTTAAAAACATAAAACACAACTAACATTGTTCAAAATACATTAAAACAAAAAATAAACAAAAATATGAATGCATCAATCCCCCCTAGTGGAAAAATCTCATCTCCTGATGAGAAAGCTTCCACAATTCTTATAAAGCTCCGGATGATGCTTTTCAAGCTCTTTTGCATCCATCCATGTACAGTCTATCAAAGGACGATTTTTTCATTTTGCCAAGAACCTCATGTGTTCACCATGCCGAGTTTTAGTAACTTTGACATCAATAACATCTTTGACCTGTTCATCATAACTCAAAACAGATGTGGAGAGTGATAAAGTTTCAATTGCCACATGATCTTCAGAATTTTCTTCATATAAAGAAAGGTTATAAACATTAAATACAGGAGAAGTGCCAACAGTAGAAGGAAGATCCAATAGATAAGCATTTGAGCCCAATTTTTTTAGAACATGAAAAGGCCCAAATTTCTTCTCGCTTAATTTCCCAAAAGTACCAACAGGAAATTCTTGGCGACGAAAGTAAGCCATAACCAAATCTCCTTTGAAATAAACTTCTCTACGATGTGCATCCTACCCTTCAAAGATAGACATCTTCTGTGATGCCCCATAATCTAAATTAAAAAAATTTATCTTTTAATTTTTTAATAAATAATAACCAGAACTATCTAATTTCATTTATTAGAAATAAACAACAAAAATAATTCTATAATTCAAAATATCTATATATACATCTATATTCATTTTCCAAAAATCATATACCTTACTCATGATCTATATAATCATACAACTACTCTGTCATGAGAACAAAAGAATAGCTCAAATAAAAAAAACAAAACATGAGGAATCAGGGTCAATCTTACACTCATGTTCCTCTGTCCTGACATGAAATTATTTAATCACATATAATGAGCTAAAAAACTAGCAGGTCATCAAAACATATAATTGAATTCAAAGCACGGTAAAGGAGCAATGCATATATGTGATCAAATTATAGCAGTAATAGTCATATGATCATTAAATCAATACAAAAACAATAAAATTTACATACAACAGTAGTAAAATTTATAAATAGCAAAACATTATAGTACTGAAGCCAGTAAAATAGTAAAGCAGTATGAGTGTCAAATCTATAAATCAATCATGATATCCGTAAGACCAAGCAGTACAGAAATCGGATAAAACATTAAGTCAAAATATCAGTAAAGACTATTGCAATCAAATTAATGTAGTAAAATTATATAGGAAGGTACACATGTTATCAAGTTAATATATATTAATATTAAATCAATATCTTAATTACATGTTCAATATATCTTGCATATCTCGTGCTCAATGAATATATCATAATTTTTGTATCAATAAATCAATAATAATTTAGTAATAAATTCATACAGTAATATGAACAACTAAAAACTTAAAACTAAAAAATCATCCACCTCCCGCATCCGTTTGTCGGGGGTGATAAATTTGAAATTAACCTCAGCTCACAAAGAGCGAATGCGTGTCGGGTGTATCACTACGATTCATCCTCAAACAGTCTCTTGCCAACAGGGACATGGCACGTGCCCTCTAATCGGATGGTTTTGCCGCAAAATGGCACAATTATATTACGATCACGGCCAAAGCCCGTATGTTCCTTAAAGGCGTCAAACCCTTGAGCGATGGATCATAGGGTATATTCGATAGGCATAAAGCCCTCTGTTAACTAAGGTGAATTCAGATATATCCCCTTAGACAAACACCAACCCAGGTCTACAAGATATTCTTGGATGAAGCAACCCATGGCTGCCGACAAGATGTCTTCTGTCAGGTTTGGTCGACTACCTCCTCTGACTAAGTAGATCAGAGAACATGACAGCCCGGGACGACGGAACCATGGGATCTTGATTGGGCTCGTCTTCATTCCTCCCACCACTAGTTTTAAGTTTATGGTGACAAACTCTAAATTCCAAATTTCAAAATTCAAATCCAAAGTTCAAACCCTAAAATTATTGCTATTATACGCTGGATTTACAACCTGTGTAATCCCTTTAATGACTAGCCTTAATCGAAAGTTCTCTCTCATTATCAGGAGGGGTAATTAACTATAGGGGCTTGTGCCTATAGGAAACAAGAACTCAGATAAAAAAGTCCTCACGAAATGAGGGCGAAATCTCTGGGTAGTGTCTTATCTAAAATCCAATCTGCCTTCTAAAAATTCCCCCGGAACCTAATCTTGTTAAAACTCTCTATCGTCGTCGTTACATATACACTTAAAAAGAAAAATTGATGGATGGCGTGGAGAGGCCGGGATCACACCTCATCATAAAAATGGAATTTTTCGGAGCCCACATTCATTTTTTTATGTGTACTTTATTGGATGAAATAGATATAACTAAAATATGTTTGATCATGAGTCGAATAAGTTTTGATCAAGATTAGAGTCAATTTTGAGCGATGTTAGAAGCTAGTAATCTCTTTTTTTTAAGCTAGTAATCTCATATCTAATATCTTTTTAGGTTTAGGGTTTAGAATGCAAATATACAACATTGCTAGATATAGAAATATTGTCAAATATACATCATCACTAACATTCAACAACTATCACTGACTAGATAGAGGCAGAGATGGATACGAAAATGTTGCCTCGGAATCATTTCTCTTGAACGAGAATTGTTGGAAAAGAAGACGCTAAGAATAGAAGTGATCGATCAACTTCTTGCTCGAAAGGTTGCTTATATAATATTCAAGCGTCTCTTTGAATTCCAGGTTATTTTGATTTGGATATAACTTTCGAACATATTTCCGCAATGAATAAAATAGCGGGTATATGTTCTCAATTCCAGGCATTATAGGCCATTTAAAGCTATATTTCTCAAAGCAAATCATGCATAAAATATTATATAAATAATTCCCTAATAATAATTTTAGGATTCTTTATGGTATGCTTCTAATGAAATATTTTCTTCATAGATTGATTAATCTCGATTTTTCAAGTTTTCAACAAACGATTGAATAGAAATGTGTGTTTCATTATTGATCGAAATTTTTGCTCCCATTTAAAAAAATCTCATAATTTGTGTTTCACAGCGGAATAGTTTATATTTTTTTTGCGTTTATACTGATAATACTCGTGCAACATAAGATGAAAATAAAAGATCATGCTATCTATTGTTTCCACTTTCCAGTGTATATCACTCTAGTTCACCGGAATCAAATCAATATCATCTTTCTATAGTGCCTTTTGAAGTTACAATGGCTATTCACATTTAAATGACAAGAGGTTGAAGAAATCAGAGTTATTAACTTTAAAAATATCACTTGATATTTCATATTAAATTCTCAAAATTTTGTATTAATGACCACATCATGACTTTGAGTTTTCTTATGCTCATTATCAGAGCCTATGAAGTGTAGACTTAATATTGCGTTCTTTGAAACTCTTTGTGAAATTATTAGGTCCCTAAATTCTTCAGAAAAATTCGAAACAGAGAAAAAACCAAAGAGCCACACCACACAAAAAAATGCACTATAAAAATTGGGACAAATAGTACATATAGCTCTTCTTTCTCAATCTTTCCATGTATCTCTTCTCTTTTGCACCTTTCTCAACTTAGAACTAACCAATAGATTCAACACAACCACCAAGGGACACAACCTTTAATAAAAAATAGAAAAAAAAACTATCCAACCAGCCTCACAGCACTGTGGCATCAAGTTGGAGCGTTGCAATGCTCCCACTTTCTGATTTTAGCCTGCACGACAACGTTGCAGTGTCGGGTCTGGAGGGCCGCAGTGCTGAGGTTTGTAGCGCCACAACGCTGAGGTTTGTAGCGCCACAATGCTGAGGTTTGTAGCGTCGCAACACTCTATTTCTATGTCTTTATGCACCAAACTATGAAGCACTGTGGTGCTCAGGTATACAGCACCGAGGCATTGTGCAGAAAAAAATTGGATGCAAAGCATCCGAACCCAAGCAGGAGAAGAATCCCTGCAACCCCCTAGCACGCTCAACAGACTAAATTGAGGTTCGAGACAATGATACAACTCGATTGATCAATACAATCATATTCCACATAGAACTAACAAGTGTTTAGATTAGCGTGTTGATTTTTATTTTATAACAAAAATTTTTGTTTTATTTTACTTTTATCTTACCATGTAGCAAAACCAATTATGAAATCATTCACTTAAAAGCCTCCTAATATTTTGATGTGTTTCCTGAAAGATTTATATTCCTAAAAATGGAGAAACAAAGAACAATGAGCTTTTATTAAATGTCATGTCATCTAAAACCACCAAGACTTCCTTTTCAGAGGATCTCCACTCGCTTGAAAATTTAAATATATTTTAAGATTCCCCAATCAAATTTCCATAGTTCCTTGAAAATCTCATTTCATACTTTTTATTCCTCAATGTGATTTTTTTTTTTTTATCATCTCTTGATCTTATAATGATTATAATAACTGCATTTTTTAGAAGACCATCATCACCATTAAACTATCCCAACTATTCAAAGCTGATGATTTTAACATTTTTTTTTATGGGAAATCAAATTAGATACTGCCAGGAGGCATTTATGACAATTCACACACACATTACATACGTAAGCTTCAAACTTAAGACCTTTTAGTTGATAGTCAAAACTCTCAACCGCAGACCAAGATGAGATGCGTTACTTTAAAATCTCATTTTAAACTTTTATTCTTCAATAATGTGATTGCTAATTTCATCATTGCTTGATATTCTACTTTCTACTAATCACAATACTTGCTTTTATTCAAATCTAAATACAGCCAGGTGATTCCAGTATCCGAGATCTTGAAGATTGATGTGAGACCTGGATGGAAAAAGGGAACCAAGATCACCTTCCCAGACAAAGGCAATGAACAGCCTAACCTTCTCCCAGCAGACCTTGTATTCATCATTGATGAGAAACCTCATGAAGTTTATCAGAGGGATGGAAATGATCTCATTGTTCATCAGAAGGTTTCATTGTTAGAAGCTCTTACAGGAGCTACACTAAACTTTACTTCTCTTGATGGAAGGGATCTAACAATCCCTGTTACTGATATTATAACTCCTGGTTATGAGCTTGTAATTACTCAGGAAGGGATGCCTATTACAAAGCAGCCAGGAAGGAAAGGTAACCTCAGAATTATATTTGATGTGAAGTTCCCAACGAGACTATCTGCTGATCAACAATCTGCTCTCAAGCGAATTCTGGGAGATTAAAATTACCTAATTTTCTTCTTGAATTCTTCGTTTTAGCTAACCATTTGACAGGCTTGCTGTCATATTGAGTTGTGGCAAAAAGATTAGAGCAGGATATGAAAGAAATAAAAATGATTGGATTAGGATACTCTCACCCAATTTTTATTACACTGATCTTACAAAAATTGACTTGTATGTTTTTTTTTTTTTTTTGACATTTATACTGATGATTTATATAATTCTTTAAATGCCTTATGGTGTTGTCATATAATTTCACAATAAATATGTATTATTTTTTAATTCTTCACATAAATTCTTATCATTTAAATATGATTGTTGAATTTCATTTTTATGTAAAAATATCCTTTTTTTTTTTGCTGCAGATGTAAATAAGATTTACTCTTTAATCATATCTCCTGCACTGTTGATGATGTGTTTGTGGAAGAACATACGGAGTTCGGACGCCATTAAAAAATGTCATGATTGTATAAAATATGTATTATATATTATATAAAAGATTATACACAGATTGTGTATAAGAGATGTGACCTATTTTAATTAGTCTGAAAAAAAAAAATCGTCTGGATTTCAATCAAAACAATTTCTCACATATACACTTGCATGATTTTATTTTAGCATTTCAATCATACAAAAATGAGAATATTCTCAGCATTTTTTACATATAAATAAATATATTTTTTAATATGATTTTAATTTTTTCTCATTTTTAATCATATAATATTTAATTGAACACTAAAAGGGATTTATCTTAAACTTCACTATTAAAAAAACTATGACTTCAATAGTATTATGTGTTTGAAAATTATTTAAAATGGTAAAGAAGAGCTTTGAAGAATCCAGCAGAAATTGATTGAATTGGTTATAAATATTGTGCAAGAATTAATTAAGATATAAATCTTATTTAAAGAATTAATTAGTATTGATTAAATTCAGATTTATAAAACTATTTGATTTGATTTATGAAATCTTAATAATTCTCTGCAGCTCAGTTACTGATAAAAATACAAAAGAAATTTAAGAATAGTTTCATATATTTTTTTTAATTTAAAAAAAAATTATATCATAACATCTTGATATAAATTCTATCAATTTAAAAGGTATTAGATTTATTTCAAGATTAATATACAAAAATCATTTAGATTCACATTTATTAAAGCTAAATACTACAGATAAAATTGTAAAATAGATAAAAAAAAAAGGAAGCCAAAACAAGGATTTCCAGACTCCGGAGCACATGCGAGGCTGAACAAAATATCAAAGATAAATTTATCTCTATATGCTAATATCTTTTTGAAAAACTAATGGAATAAAATATTTTAATTAAAATAAGTTTTAAAATAAGTAGAATTAAAATAAATATTAATCAAATATTATATAACATACATATTAATATAAATTTAATAATTTCAAAATTATCATCAAAAATTTAATTTGAGCCACTTTTTTACCAACTTCTGCTCCCTTAAACTACCAAATTATTCTAGAAAATCAGATTGTAAATCAAATTTATTATCAATTTAACTCATTACTTTATCAAATTAGAATGTAAATAAAAAAAAAATGTTTAACTAAGCTCACTCATGTATTTTCAAAATAGATTATGGGTTGAAGAAATCCAATGCCACTAAAATATTTCACTTAGACTTCGTTTGAGACGACTTTCTTGTTGCTTTTTTTTTTTAAAGAAAGCTTTTTTACTGCTTCTTAAACCGTCCTTTTAGTACAAAAATTAAAATTTTTATACTAAATAATTGCTTTAAAAAGCAATAAGTTAGGCTTCATTTGAGATGATTTTCTTATTGCTTCTTAAAAACAGTACAAAAATTAAAATTTTTATACTATAAAATTGCTTTAAAAAGCAGTAAGAAAGTCATACCAAACGAAGCCTTAGTTTAATAACTAATGATTTAAATTTCCACACACACTATAATTACTAAAATTAAAAAACTAGTAATATAACATCACCTTCATGCATTCTTGTGCATGTTGGTCTATAACAAGGCAAAAACAATTGAACAATTTTCATTGCCATGGTTGATTAGGGAAATAAGTAGATTATTGAACAATTTTCATTACCTCAACCTCTACGATTGCATTGTTTTAATTACAAGGATATAATATACAAAGATGTGTAACATATATAACACATTTTACTTGAAGGAGATGAAATGAAAGTCAGGAAAGAAAAATACCAATTCCATCGCTTCTGGCAGCTTCAAATTCTGCTGGAATTAGCAATCTCATCAGTAGTAAAGAGATAGAATAGATGATAAACAACTGTCACATGAACAAACTAGTAGGATTGAGATTTTAGTTAGAAGATTCAAATCAAATCAAAATGAGCTGAGCCAGAAGCCAAATTTTTTAGCTAAGCCTATTGGATTAAGTGGATTCGAGATAAACTCGAGATATGTGTATAAAAGTATATATACAACAATAACAATAACAACATCAAGTCTTTATCCCACTACGTGGGGTCGGCTACATGAATCTTTTTTCTCCATTCTCATTTAAATCTAATAAAGAAATATCATTTCTAATATTTTCTAATCAAGTCTTTTTAGGTCTACCTCTACCTTTTTTAACATAGCCCAATTCTAATACATCTACTCTCCTAACAGAGTCATTGGAAGGTCAATGTTTTACATGACCAAACCATCTATGATGGATGGCTCTCTCTAATCTTATCTGTCACCCAAACCATCTATAATGGATGGCTCTCTCTAATCTTATCTGTCACTGGAACTATTCCAACCTTTTCCCGCATATGCTTGTTTCATATCCTATCTCTAAGAGTATGTCCACTCATCCACCTGATCATCCTCATCTCAACAACACTTAACTTAATATTATGCTTCTTTTTAATGGTCAACATTTTATGCCATAAAGCACTGCAGGTCTCACCATCATCTTATAAAGTTTTCTCTTAAGATTGAGAGGTACTTTTCTATCACACAACAAACCTGAAGCATTCCTCCACTTCAACCATCCAATTGAATTCTACTAATAATATCTCCATCTATTTCACCATCACTCTGAATAATAGACCCACGATATCTAAAATGAGTACACTTATTAATAACTTGATCGCTCAAAATATATATGTTGGACTGAAAATTTACCTTAAAAGATTAAAAATTAATTGATATTAGAACAATTTTTGGATCAAATCAAATTCAGATCGAAGTTAATGAGTTATTAATGAATTGGATCAATCCACACTTGAACCAGATATGGCTTGGCTGATGATCAGATTGAATGACTTGGAGCTCATCTTAAGCCGGAATAAACTCAGCTGAAGATTGAATCTTCTAACAGATTCAACAGCCTACAAACAAATAAAGAAATATTCCATTGGGTTGGGTTGGCCCACTTGCCATGTAAGCAAGGCCAATTAGTCATTTTGTAAAAGGAATGTTCAAATAATACTAAACGCACCTTGGTAATTTTCTTCAGTGATGAACATCAGACAGGATCATAACTTATTTATTTTTTTTAAAAGCTCCCGACCGTAAATGGAATGAAGCTAAAATAATATCATTCAAGTGATTCACAACAGTTGATCAGTCTGTAATGCTTGGGATGGCCTAGAGTTCAACAGTTGTTTTAGTGATACCATTATACTGGAGAATGAAGGTCTTTTCCAGGGCTCACTGCAGTTGTTGAATATTAACTATTAATAAGAGAGTTAATGAAAAACAAGATTAAAGAGTCATTTCAAAGAATTTCTTACCTGGCCCAACAAGACTCGATAATTGAAGCAATAACTGGGTTCATATCACTAGGAATATCAAGCCTTCTACCCTTAAACCCGACAGCATAAACCACCTGCAAAAAGAAACAAGAAGCCACATTAGATTTGAAGGTCAGGAAGAGTATCCTGATCAAATTTCAGGTCAGAATGGGTCTTCAAATCATTCGATTTATTTTAAAAAGAGTATAATGAATTTTGTAGCCAAATTACTGCAGAAAAAGGACAAAAAGGTTAAACCTTGGCAGGATTTAAATTACTCCATGGTTGTTGCAAGGTCATAAGTTCCCATAAGATCACACCAAAGCTGTACACATCAGACTTCTCATTTGATGGTTCATCACGAAGAACTTCAGGCGCCATCCACTCAGGCTGTTGTATCAAATGCAATGTTAGCAATTAAAATACCTTACAGTAGAAATAATTATGATACTAAACAGTCAAACCACTTACAGTCCCAGCCAAAGATTTTGAAGAAAGGTATGTGCTAGCCTTCAACCTTGAAAGGCCAAAATCACAAACCTGGATAATGATTAAAGAGATGATATGGAAACACATGCACAAAAGCACATACTGACTACTATTCTAAGCAAAAAAGTAAGTAAATACAATTATTATGTTATTTTTTATTCATTTCGCCCATAGCATGAATAAAGATATATGTAGTCACGTGTGTGGAACAGTTGATCACAAACGTTCCAAAAGATATAAGCAGTCAAAATTGCATATTTCACCCAATAGGAGATATAAACACTTACATAAAAGTAGATGCTGATTAAATCTTGTAGCAAAAAATTAAAATATAATTATTATGATAGTTTGATAACATCCACCCATGGCATGAGCAAAGGAAGTGCTGGGGTGGGAGGAAGGGAGTTGGTTTGGTTTGATTGTGGACTCTAAATTTCTCCAAGATAAGATAAACTTTCTTTCCAAAAGATATAGTAAGTCAAACATGCATATTTTGAACAATAGAAGCAAATTCTCAAGATGCGCTCTACAATATTGAAGAAATATTGAATATAAAATGCTTCTAAGAAAAGCAGGAGAAAATAACACATAATTCACATCATATAGATTAGAAGAAATGGGAGCGTAAAAAACCCTTGTGCGATCATGTTCCTTATAATTCCCATATGTAAAATTCATATTTCATAGCATTTATTTGCGAGACATCTACTAAGATAATTTATTTCCAGGATTATCAAATATTAATCTTCCTATGCTAAGTCCTCTTCAAAACGATTGATGTTGTTAATGAATAAACGATTCTAATAGCTGATAGTTTGAATCCAATAAATAGATTTGTAGGTCTTACTTTCACCGTGTACTTCTTGTCAACCAAAAGATTTGGTGACTTCAAATCCCGATGGACAATTGGTGGATTGCGTTTATGAAGATAGTTCATACCCTTTGCCTGGAAAAAAGCTCATTCAGATAATTTATTATAGAAAATAACCAAATTTATGAGGCTAATATAAAACGATTTGTCGCTAAATTTAGATCATATTTGAGTATAAGAAAAATGCAAATTTAGTGACAACAGTGTAAGATAAAATTATCAAATTAAATCATACCACATCCAAAGCCATATTTAATCGACGTCTTTCATCTAATGTTTCTCCCACACCTGTCTTATGTAAAAAGCTATATAAGCTCCCTCTGCAAATTAAGAAGAGATAAAAACAATTATAGCAAATATACAAGGATTCTCAAAAATGAAAAGAAAACTGGAATGACAACAATAAAGAGAATGTAACCACCTAGATAAATACTCAGTAACAATGGATAAATGAGGTGGTTGAGTAACTGCACCCATGAAAAGAACTATATTTGGATGCCTCAAGCTTTTCATTATGGAAACCTGGCATCCAGTACAACATCAATGAACCAGGTTAAATAAATGGCATAAAAGAATGCAAATTCCTTAAAAGAAAATATGTGCTAAAAAACAGTACAATGAATGGTTGTTCACCAAGACAAAATACCTAAACATTGTCAATTTGAAGAGATTTATAATATTTAGCTTTGCTAAATGCAAGCAATACTTTCTCCTTAGAGATAGGATACGAAATGAGCAAAGAAAAGGTTGGAGTAGCTCTAGTGGAAGAAAATATTAGAGAGAGTCGCCTTAGATGGTTTGGTCACATAAATCACCGGCCTTCTAATGACCCGATTAGGAAAGTGGACGTATTAGATTTGACTTATGTTAAGAAAGGTAGAGGTAGACCTAAAAAGACTTCGTTAGAAAATATTAGAAATGACCTTTCTTGATTAGATTTAAACGAGAATTTGACTTTTAACGAGACACAATGGAGAAAAAGGATTCAAGTAGCCGACCTCACGTAGTGGGAAAAAGATGATGTTGTTGTTGTATAAATAAAAAAAATGATTAAAAATCAAATATAAATGAAAACTAAAATAGATTTCAAAACTCTTAACTACATTGATTCATATTATATATTCAAAAAGTCTAATTGATAAAACAAATAGATTGAAACAAAATTAGAAACAAAATGAAATAAAAAGAGTAACGAGTCATAGAGGGGACGAAGAGCAGAAAGTGAGCGAAGAGTAGAAAGTGAGCGAAGAGCCACAAATATATACTATTCAAAGGAGATGAAGGCAAATCTGGTTTTGTGCTTAATGTTTTTGCAAGTTTACAAAAGAGGACTTAACTCTTCAGATTAAAAAACAAATAATTTTTTATTCTTATTTTTAATTAGATATATAAAAAATTTATTAAGAATATAGGTTAAAACTTAATAGTTTAATCATTTAATTAATTTAAGTTACATATGGGCTTTCACTCCGCTAACAGGAAGAAAAAAAGCTGTGCCCAAGGCAATTTCTTGTTTGAAGATTTTTATAATATTGCTAAATTCAAAAAAGCATAAAATTATAACTAAGAATACCATCTATGATAATTTGTATGATATTACATGTGAATTGAATATCAAAGAAATCTAAAGTCCGAATAAACAAATGGGTATGAGCTAGACCAAACTTACTATACAAATGACTGAGCAGAAACCTCAGTGTTAGAAAGATCAAGTGATGACTGATGTAATGCATTTTCAAGATTTCTCTCCCACATGCCGACAGCCTGAACAAAAATCAGAAACTTTCTCTGTCCAGGCCTAAACAATGCTGCTAGGGAACATTTCTTCAAGTGTAACACTGAGTTTTAGTATAAGCCAATCGTTCTTTACTTTGGAATAGTCATATATGCTAATGGAATTTGTTATCATAAACTCGGAAATAAAAAAATAGTGACGGCAGGACAGTGATCAGAATCAGTAGATAATCTAAAAGTTTTAAGCTCGTATAACGGAAAAAAAATAAAAATAAAATACATATAAGCCCCGTCTAAAAGCATATAAGCGCCGTCTAAAAGAGGCAGAAATTAACAAATGCCAGGCTACCAAAAAAGGCGGTAAAATGATGGAGAAAAAAGATGCATGAAAATCCATGCTTCAGATACCTCTCTTAGAAATTCTTTAAACCTCTCAGGATGGAAGTCTTGTTCCATGAGAATCTTGACAGCTACTTCCTACCAGTTCCAAAAAAGCATTATATGATAAGCAAGTTATGAAAATCAAAAGAGAAGCTAAAGTCATAAAATTACTCATTATACATCATCTATGCTAGAAATAAAGACAAGAAAACCAAAAAAGAAGATCAATAATTAGTACTTAGCACCAACAGCTTATTGATCAATTCACAATTACACGGCTTCATTGGCCATGAAGTGCTCCTTGAAATGTTAAACAAAATGATAAGTTGAGCCGTTGAGGAGTCCCTCCCAACACTACCACAAATCATTGTGATCATTACAAATCTAACAAGTTGTTCCTTGTTCAAAAATTGTTCAAATATGATTCGAAGATAGTTTGATCATGATTTAATGATTATTTAAATAAAGTTAGAATATGATTCAAACATAAATTATAACACAACAAACTGCAAAGTTTATACAATAGAGTGAGTAATCACAACAGCAGATTATAAGAGATATAATACAATAGCTATAACAAAATATAGTATATTTTAAGAGATATAACACAACAAATCGAGCAGAGTACAATTCAAAGGCTATAATACAACAACTATATCATAACATATATAAATTCAGAAGTAATATAAATTGAATTAATGAAAGAATAAATGTACACATAATTAATATTAGATCAAAATAATAAATGGATCTACATTATTGTAAAATAAATTTACACAAACATTTTCTGTGAAATTGTATATAATTAGTGTAACTTCTAGAAGCTTATTTTTTTGAAGTTATTTAAGATTATATTGAACACACTCCACTGTCATCACTACAAATAAGATATAAAACAACCATCAAACAACATGTGCAAGAACTATTTAAATTACTTAAATTCTATCAAAATATCAAATGGATTAGTTTACTTTAGACCTATAAACTTCGTCTATAGTGGCCCTTCTCCACTTTCAAGGAGATTTGGAGGAAAAAGCTCATGTATATTGTTAAATAACTCTAATTGCTCAAGTAACCTAGGGAAGCACTTGCAGAATAAACTTTATTGCAGTTGTAAGCTCTATGCTAAGGTACAATCGAGGCCAGGATCATATAATGTCATAGAGAGAACATATTTTAAATTTCAATAACATATATATATTTTTTAATTTAAGTTAAGTAACAAATTATATTTAAAAAGGGGAAATTTAAATATCGAGTAAGAAAATTTATGAACAATTTATCATTTAAAATTTTGACGATAAGATCATTTATACAGGTGTTAAGTCCGTCAACATTAGAGCAAGAATGAAGTATCAAAATATCTATATTCAAGGTGAGTACTCATAATTTTAAATTATGGTAATAATTTTATTTTCTTTTAAAATTAAATGCATCAAAGGATATTGACACATGCTTATTTAGTTTTTATTGCAAATTAGATCACGGTTTATCATTCTAATATCCAACGATTGATCATTTTAGGTTTGATGATAACTCGCATATTGTGTTTCGCATTACTATATAAAAGTTAATGAATGTTATTTGAATGACATATCGAGATATACTTGTATGTGTATGTTGATTGATGGAGTACATCCTCTTATGATACTAATTGGGAACACAACATACCCACACGCGTTAAATGGAAAAGGTTTGGAAAAGGTAATGAAAAAGAAAATAAAAAAGTAAGTACCTTAAGTGGTACTATTTAGATAGTCTCCAGTAAGGGTTGTATTAGTTACAAAATTTATTATGATAGAAAATGAGTATTACATATAGACATTATATATGATTGATGGTCATTTTTCAATTTAAATGTTATTTTATAACAAGCATGAATATTATTCCGAATGTCTTGTATTATTGTAATTTAGAAGCATGATGTACTCATTGAATTATGTTATGACTCACTCCACATTTACAAACGTTCATTGTCCAAACAATTTAAATGAATGGAAGAGGAGAGAGCATGTGCTGCAGATGCAATGCTCTGAGAGAAACATAATTGTTGAAATAGTTATAGAAATTGTTATTAAAATGTATTTGGAAGTGTAGAGGCTCCATCAATATATTGGACATAGTTATAGTTAGAAATTTTAATGAGCAAAATTTTAAATAACCGTCCGACCGTCTGTTCTTGCCTAGTTAATTTGAGCCTTCTAGTCTGGTCGTGACAAAAAGTAAGTCCGATACAAGTGTGTTGGAATCTCCTAAGATTAGGTTTGGTTCAATAACAACTCTATTGTGCTCTTGTGGCTAAGAATTTCCTAAGATGAAGTTTTAGCTTGTCACTATCTCGTACATATGGGTTGAAAGTTCAAACCTCCTGATAAAGGGTGCCTATAGTGCCAAATATATTTGATAAAAAAAATTTTCCTCAAGGAATTATCCTTCTCTCTTTCCCATTTTCTCTATCTTTTTCTTTCATCTTTTTCTTTTAGAAACTAGGAAGTTAGACCTCTCTTGAAGACGGTCATACCTCGGTATGAACTTTTTTTTCTTATGCGTGTCTCTCAAAAACAAGTCTTGTTAATCTTGCCGGACTGATCCTTTGTGATCCAAAGATGTATAATAAGCTAATTTTTATTTATGAATTTCACTATATAATGATCATTGTTATTCCACACTTCATTCAAAAAAAGTTGCATTTATGCATATTTTCTTATGAAGCCTCTTTATCTTATTAATATATTCAGGTATCAACTTTAATGACAGGTGTTTTCCTTCTATTTGTAACCTCTCTCTACTTGTAATCATTACCTCCCTCTACTCCTAAATAAGAAGAGGCCAATCATAGGATTTGTGCATGGGCCAGAGTTTATAATTTCCTTTCTAATGAGAAGAAGCTTGCTAGCCAGAAGTCTAATAGTCTTCTTTCTCTTGCAATAAGTATAATTATAACAAATTATTTTCGATACCCCATATGCTCTGTTTGCCCACTTCAGTGAAAGTATCAAACTCTCTTCTTAGGTGCATGCCAACATCCTTGATAGAGCTTTTTCGTTCTTTTACGAATCTTCTTTCTTCTTCTCAAGCGGATCTATTTCTTTGCTGCTCATTTTATATAAGAATTATTCAAAAAGAGGAGAATGACAAGATGAACATATAAGTGTAAAAATGTTACAAGGGGTATTTGATTAAGACTTTAGTGGAATCCTATAAATTGAAGGAGAGAACCTAGGAAATCTAAGGGAAGATCTAGGGCAACTATAACACAATAGAATTTTCTTTCTTGGTTTGATGGTTATGACGCAGGATATTTATTTGTGAACTGCAAGTAATGTCAAATCAAGTGGTATTAAAGCTAAGGGTTTCTTAATATTGGTACATGGTATTGACAAAGAGTTGCTACAAACAAATTGAAGGACTTTTTGTACTTGAATCCTCTACATAAAGAGGACGATTTCCCCATCGAACTAACAGTTAGACAATCAAATGGCTTGATTGCCCAAGTCACTCTTTTACAACAACATATGGCCATGTTGATGGTGTTTAACTAACAAGCTGTAACGACAAATGAGGAATTGAGAATGTGGATGAGTTTCCCATTAGTAAAATTGATTCCGCAACAGAGATGAGAGATTAAAAATAATTTTTTAGAGTAAGAAAACTTAGATGAGGTGGCCGCAGGTCTTATACATCAAATGAAGAGGTAGAGAAAAACATTTTGAAGTGGATACCAAAATCAACATCTTGAAATGTGATGATTCCACTGATGCAAAGAAGTTGGACACACCCTTTGATTGACCAACTAGAGATCTATTCCAATCCCTGTGTATATGCTTCCTGATGCAAGAAAAAATATAGGGAAACCCCTAGATTTTTGCAAGCAAAAGGAAACGTTTCCTAGGAAATAGAAAATTAACAAAATACTAAAAAATATACAAATTACAACTTATACGACAAACAACAAACTTTATAAAATTTTTTAAAAAATATGATATTACAAACTTATGAAATAAAATTCTAAACTTGCATTTCCTTGAGAAGAAATATACAGGTGACGTCGAACATGTGGAGAGAAGAAAGTGGTTAGAAGTCAAGACGAAAGAGAGGACAAGCTAGCAAGCTTTCCTAGAGAGAGAGGAGAAGAGGTGAAACAAGCTCGCAAGCCTTTCCAAGGAAACCCGTAAGTTTTATCCAAAAATTAGCCACATAACATCCTCCATGTTCCATCTTTTTTAGGAGTGAGTAAAGCAGGCACAACACAGGGACTTAAGCTTTCCTTAATCAAACCCTTCTCTAACAGTTCAGTCACTTGCTTAAAAAGTTCATCATGTTCAGTTGAACTCATTCTGTAATGGGGAATATTAGGCAATGTGGCTCTAGGTATTAAATCAATGTGATGTTGAATGTCCCTCATCGGTGGCAAACCTATAGGCAACTCTTCAGGTGTTATATTAGAAAACTCTTCAATTAAAGGTTGAATTTCTTTAGAAATTTGAAAAGTTGAATCAGTTTCTTTTCCTAGCACCAGGTAAGCTACCTCAGATTGTTTCAACTCATTTGTGTTAAGAATCAGTTCAGGAGTATTTGTTTTTGCAACTTAAGTATTTTTGGCAGGCGAGTCAGAAATATGTTTTTGAGGATAAAGAGTTAATTCTTTATTATTTTGAATCAAAGTGTAGGTGTTCTTTTCCCCATTATGAATAGTTTTGTGATCGAATTGCCAAGGACGACCCAAGAAGATATGGCAGACTTCAAGAGGTACAACATCGCAAACAACTTGATCTTTGTAAGAACTTCCAATTGTTGAATTAACATTGCATTGTTTTGTTATAAGAACCTCACCCCCTTTCTTGAACCAAGAGATTTTGTATGGTTTGACAAGTGGTTTGGATTTCAATTTAAGCTTATCCACCATTATTTGTGAAACAATTTACCCAAACTCCCGCTATCGATCATTACAGTGCAAATTTTTCCCTCGACTGTACAAGTGGTTTTAAAAATGTTTCTTCTAAGCCACATATCCCCACTTTCCATTTTAGCAGTTAAAACTTGTCGGATTACTAAAAGTTGTTCACCTTCATTGCCCTCTACATCAACTTTTTTCAATTCTATTTCGTTTTTAGGTTCAAATTCATTTTTTTCCTCTTCTTCTATTTCTTCATCTTTTTCAATGTAATTATTTTTTGGTGGGTTGTTTTTTCTACAAGCCGTAGAAAGATGACCATAAAGCCCACATTTATAACATGGTCCGATCAGTTTTGGTTGTTCAGTAGGTTTAGGCCCCATTATTCCTTTACCCTTATCTAAAGTTTGAGTTTCAAATGATTTAGTTCGTACATTTAATGTTCCTGCAGAAGTTTGTGAAGATTGAGTTTTAACCCCGCCAATCTGTCTTCGCTTATATGTTTCAATTATTTTGTTGTGACACCTTTGATGTTGCTTTTCAATTTTCAATGTCATTCGATAAGTCTCGTCGAGTTTAATTATGTGGTGCAAATTCAGTTGATCTTGAATTGTCCATTTCAGACAGTTGATATATCTAGTGACAGTTCTGTCCTCGGATACATCTAACTCATTTCTAGATTGGAGTTTGTAAAAAGTTTCAGTGTATTCTTCAACAGATTGATTACCTTGATGCAAGTTATTAAATTCTTGAAAGATTGTTCGTGCGTGATCTGATAGTAGAAATTTCCCTCTCATTTTCTCTTTCATTCTTTCCCAATTTTGAATTTTTTTCTTTCCCTCGTCTTTGCTTATTGTTTTGAAGATTTTTCCACCGTATGAGTGCATGACCGTGAGTTTTAAGCTTGCAAATTTGACTTTCCTATTATCCGGTATTTCTTTCCATTCAAAAAATTGATCCATTTTTTCTAACAACTCGATGAATTGATCGGGTTGAAGTTTACCTTTGAAGTTATGAACATCAATTTTAATCCCATAATCCCAATTTCTTTGTTGTCTATTTTGGTTCCTAGGGACTTCCTCTTCACTTTCAGAAGTTTGAACATTAGGATTGTTGACATTTAGGTTAACAAGAGTATTAGACATGTTATTTATTTGATTTTGTAAATCCGCTAACTGTTGCATCATTTGTTGTCAATCTCCTTGATTATTAGCCATTTTTGTTTTTCTTTAAGAAAGAGACTCAAACCACCCAAGGATTTGTTAACTCGCTCGGATACCAAACTTGATGTAGACAAACTAGAAAGAAAGAGTCAACAGTGGAGAACACTAGGACTAGAAGAACAAAACTCGATTCAAATTGGAAAGCTGATATCCAAACAAAACACCAAAACAAACTAAAGTCGAACAAACGAAACAAAGTTTAAAAATAAAAACACTATCCTCAGAACAACCAACAAGCAGTTTCATCACATGCAACGAAAAGTGGATAAAATAAGATAAGTGCTTAAAGGCTTGCAAACCAAGGGTCCAACACAGCAACAAGGTCCAACGTGCAACAAAACTCCTCCAGCAAATGTCACTAAATTCTGCCAACAAACACCTCCAATAGCTCAAGAAGAAGGATATAAGTGGAGTGGAACTTGTGGAGAGAAGTTGAGGTTAGAAGCCCAAAACGAAATAGAGAGGAGGAAGAGAGAAATGGAACAAGCTCTCAAGCTTTTCCAGGGTAGAAAAAACCCTCAGGTTTTGTAGAGAATTTGCTCAAATATTCAACAATCCTTTCATGTCCAAAACATCTCCAATTTATAAGAGAAAAGGGGCATCCAAATAGCCATTCAACCTCCAACCGAACCAATCAGGTAAGGGGAAGAAGAAGGCTAGCAGACAATTCAGAACACCACCCAAAAAGACAACACAGGAACAGGGTAAAGCATCCACGGGACAGCAGCCAAGGGAGAAACCAAAGGGGTAGCATAGGGGAACAGAACCAGCACCCAGCAAAGGAGAAAGGGCCAGCCACGGGAAACACACCAGGAAGAAACCGAGGGGACATAAAGAAGGGGAAAAGGCAAGGATCCACTCCACATAATGATGCAAGCAAAAATTTGGGAGAGGGCCCCAAATTTTTGCTAACAAAAGAAACTCTTCCTATATAATAGAAGATTACAAGATCTCACAAAAACTAAACGAATTAGACAAAAAACAAACTTTTTATATCATAAAGATTCTTACAAGACGCTTACAAACGACACTTAGAAAAGGACTTACAAACTTAAGAAATAAAGACTTAAACAAGACGACATCCTAAACTTGCTTCACTTAGAGACGAAAGATACAGATGGAGTGGCACTTGCGGAGAGACGAAGAGATTAGAAGCCAAGAAGAAGGGTGGAAAGAGCCCGCAGGATTTCCGGAGGGGATGAGAAAGAAGAACGGACAAAGCTCGCAAGCTTTTCCAATAACCCGCAGGTTAGATTCCAAAAATCACATATCATTCTCTACTTTTAAAAAACCCAAAACATCTACTATATATAGGCATAAGAGGGGAACTAAACAGCCATATTAAAATATTAATTAAAAGCTGGAAATAGAAGGTCAAAAGCCACCTAAAAACTGCAGTAGAAACTCTTAGAATTCTTCCCAAAACAGCTACCAAACAATCCCAAAAACTGTCCAAATTCTGTCCAAAATACAGCCCAAACAAACTGTCCAAAAACAGTCCCAAAAACTGCATGATACCCAAGAGTCACAGCCATTCCAAGCAGAACAAGGCAACGGAACCAACCAGGAACAGAACAGCCATTTAGAAATCCCAAACGGCACTTTATTTCACAGAAAGCCACGGTTTCAGCACAGGAAACCAGGAGTCAAGTGTCGGTTCCAGCAGCAGATGTTATTTCACGGTAAATAGGGAGGCTAAGGCAATAAAGAAGGCAGCAAAACCAAAGGGGCAACAGCAGCAGCAAACCATGGGAGGAAATCAGCAGGAAACCGCAGCAACCCAAGGGTCAAAAGGGAGAGGAAAAGGCAATATAAATTATAGAAAAGAGGAGGAAGAAGAAAAGTCAATGTTTAAGAAGTAATGAGCTAATTTTTAGTTCAATAAATGAACTAAAAATCAGCTCATAATGAGCTAACCTTCCACAATATATTAATAAGATGGAGAAGTCAAAAATCAAATATTAGGATTTGATTTGACCCCCCTCCTGCCTACATCAAACTCCCCTTCTTGAAGACCCAGCTCCCGATGAGTCAGTTCTTGTTTTCTTCCGACGAGGCGAAGACTGAGCATCCAGTTCTTGAATCTTTGATTCATATTTCTTCAGGATTTATTCTAGTTCTTGTAGGAACTGATCTTGCAAACGTTGCTTCTTCTTCATGTATCTTTCTGTACATAAATGCATCCATGACTGAAGTTTGTATAGCTCGAATTCTAAGGGATTTGTTGAATCGGGAATCCATCTGTTCATCGAACCTTGATCTTCAGAATCTTCTTGCTTGTTTTCTCCTGTCTTTTTGTCTTTTTTCATTTTTTTTAAAAAAAGACTCAAAAGAAAGACTCAAAGAGAGACTTTAAAAGACTCAACCTAAAAAACATATATATGAA